CGAGTTCACCTGCTCGCAGACCTGCGCGCCCCGCCGGCGAATGCCTAGTCCGTCGTTGGGGTCGAAGCCCGAAGCCGGAGGAGAGAGCGGACCGCCCTCGAGCCCAGGTGAGAGTCTGTTCGGTCCACTTGCATATCGCGTCGACAGTGTCCCTGTGTGCAGCATGGGCAGTGCCCATCGTGACCGTCTCCGACGAACTGTGGCGACTCGACGGCCTCGGCGGAAAATAAGCCATCGGTGCCAGGATGTCGAATCGCCCGCTGCGAAGGCGCGTCAAGGAGACTCGGCCTCTCAGCTTCGCCGGCGCAGGAGGGGCGTCCACCAGGTGCGGCGTGCGGAAGACGCGCTGGCGAAGCAGGATGGTGCACCCGCAGCTCTTGCTCGCGTAGGGGCTGGGACTCCAGCCAGACCGCAGGGCAGCATGAAAGGGCAGCAACGCCCGAAGAGTGTCGACACCCCCTCGCTTCTCCCCTGTCCCACTCAGACAAATCACATCAACGTGGCGAAATGCTGCAGGACTGCCACAAAGTCTGTCCTCTGAGCTCGCGTTCTGGGCATTCCAGTGGACGAATTTCATCTCCCAGCAATATTCCAGAAAGATCCAGAGCAGCCCGACATGCAGGAACCAGCGCGGGCAGCGGGGCGCGGGATACGAATGCGCCATGCGGGGCGCGGGATGCGAATGCGCATCAGTTAGCGCTGCCGCCTCTGAATCACCGCCTCGGGCAGAGGGGTTTGGAAGAAGAGGGGGGGGACTAAGTGGGCTAAGTGCTGAACGATTTAGGGTCGCGCTGAGGGTGGCCGCAGGCTTAAGGAGCTCGAGGGGGGGGGGGGGGGGGCGCGGGCGGGCCCCGTCCCAGGGCAGTCCTGGGGGACGAAGCCGCAGCCGTCGTGGCCGAGGTCGGGGGCGTCGCGCGCGGCCGCGCACGCGCCGCGCGCAACGTGCGCGCGCCCGCGGCCGACCCCGACGACGACAACGGGCCCCTCGCCTCGGCGCCAGGAAGGATGCAAGCCTCTCATCGCTCGGCTCAGCACCTCCTGGCCCTTCGGCGATGGCTTAGGCGGGCATGGCTCCAAGATGTCCACATATCTGAATGTGGCGTGTGAGCCACACGCCGTGCACAAAATCACTCTCCACTTGGGTATCCCGGCCAAGCGGTGCGAAGGGCGAGCGGACTAGACGTTGAGTTCTCTCCCCCCAGCCACCGACGCCAACGCCCCCCCCCCCCCAGACGAGACAATGCCTAGCGGCAGAGCCGGGCGTGGGCACTGGGTAAGAGCCGTCTCGTCCAATCTGCAGTCATCCACAAGCTGCGTACAACTGTCGCACCGCCACTTCTCGCCGCAACGCACTAACTGGTGAGCCGAGGCCTTGGGGCGCAAATCACGAGTGGACAATTGAGCCTGACGAACGACTCCCCCCCCCCCTCCTCGCGACACCTTTTCGGAGCCAATGCTCTTGATGATGGCCCTCGCTCTGGCGCGGGCAAGGGCGGCTGTCGCGTCCCGCTGGTCTGTGAACGGAACAGGGCCACCGGCAGCGGTCCAATTCCTGGCAGCACCTCTGCCCGCCCATGCATCTGCCACAATATTACCACATGCATAAAACGGGTTGGCGATGGCCTCAGGCGTCTCATCCTGATGGGACGGGGACCACACCAAGGCGACATCGCGCCAACGTTCTTGCTCCAAGGCCCTGCGCAGCCTGGCCCAGCCGCCCCAGTTCTCGAGGCGCCGGGACCACGCTCCAGGTGGCCTCAGGTCCCAACCTCGGCCCCATCCGTTGAGGGGAGGTTCATGGTCGGTCACGAACGTCAGAGGCCCGGAGCTTTCTTCGACCGCAATGCAAAACGCGAGCGATGCAGCACGTGGGACCGTCTGGCGTCTACCTTCGAGCGGGCCGAAGAGGCCAGAGTGGCCTCGCCACAAGCCAGCCTCGTCTGGGGCAAGAGCCGCGACCGACCAACCGCACCGGCACCTCCGAGGATCATGAGAAAAAGGCCCCTCCAGAGCCGTCCCCGAACAGAGTGAGGCGCCCATGGCGGTCTCTGCAGGCTTCCCACTGAGGCCGGCCCTCACTGTCAGGACCCACCACCCCCACCCCACCCCCGTCCCACGAGGCAAAGGAGGGAGTAGTGGAGGCATGGCTAGGCACACCTCTAAGCCAAAGAGCTGGGTCCTGACCCAGACCCGCTAGCGCTTGGTGAACCAGGTGATCACTAGCTGAGACCTCAGGGCCCTCATTAGCAGAGCACTTCCACAGTCTGTGGGGGAGGTCCTCAATGGCCCCAGAGTTGCAACGATCGCGCAGACGGTTGGCAAGATACCCAGCCTGATAGAGGCGCTCTCGAGTCCACTGACCTCCTGAAACAACGCAATTGTTCAGAGCCCATGACGATATTCTTCCACTCGGCAAGAACCTCCGCTGCTCGATCCTGATCGTGAGCAGCTCCCGAGGCGAGAAAGGCGCCGTGCTCGTGCGCCGCCGCCGTCGCCCAGGGCTTGCACTGGAGTGGCTTCGCTGAAATCGTCGAGGACGGGATCGTAGTCGAGGTCGACTAATACAACTCCGTCAGCTGGGAGTCTCCATTCTTCCAAGTATTCATCATGTACACGTTGCTAGCAGTCAGCTGCTTTGGGACCCCAGCCAACTTCCAACAGTGTCGCAATCGCTGCCCCAGTCGGTTGAGTAACATATGACCAGATCGTCGGGCCCGCGATGGTGAGCTTGGTCTTGAGCAACGACCAAGTCCGTCGAATGCGCTGGTGTCACTCCTGCCAGAATATGGTGTCACGCTGGTGCGGCTGATCCTGCCAGAATCGAATCCACTGTCGAAGTAGCTGCACGCGAAGCTGGACTCCAGGGTCAGCTCCACCGAAAGTAACACCCAAGAGAGCCGTGAGGCAGCGACCCGCAGCCTGATCAGTGGCCGCAGCTGCCGCCTGTCGGCGCCATCGATGTAGAGCGTGACGAGCGAGCCCTCGAACTTGATGGCCATACACTCCCTGTGGGAGCGAACCAGTGGCCCACAAACCCTTGGCAAAGCGAGCCTGCTGCGCCGTGCTCCTCATGCGCACGATCTGCTTGGTCCTGGCGGAGGCCGCTCGTGCACGCTCACCAGCTTTCTTCTGGACCCTGCGCGTGCCCGCCGCCATGTCGACGCCAAGGTCCGTGGCCATAGTCGTCGCAGAGACAAGCGCTCCTCGACGATGTAGATTGCGCTCCAATCGTTCTCTTACTTGCCTGTTGTTCGAGAGCACCACCAGTCTTGTCCGAGACAGGGAGCTCCGCCTGATCAAGTGCCGACTTCAACTCACCACAGCCTTGGTCAGCTGCTGCAAGACCAAGCGTGCTGTGCCTTCCGACCTCGCCACGGCGTCATCAACAACAGTCCACCTTGTCGCCCCTTCCGCACGTCGTTGAGCATGCGTCAGAATCGGGAGCAATAAGAGACGAGCTAGAATGACTCCTCTCGGGGACCCAGCCACGATCCCTTGGAACGATCCCCGGGCTGAGGAAGAGCTGGGCTTCGAAGAGTAAACACATGGCAGGGAAGTCTTCGTCCAACCCCACCTCAATCAGGCGAGCCAGCTTCACATGGTCGTAGAACTTGGCCAAGTCCATCAGCAACGTGCCCACGGTTAGCCCCATAGTCACCGCAGACTCGTTCAATAATGTGCGATGGAGCGCCGCAGACAAGGCCGAGGATCCCTTCGGGGGGAGGAGGAGGAGGAGGAGGAGGAGGAGGAGGAGGAGGAGGAGGAGGAGGAGGGGGAGGAGGAGGAGGAAAACGAGGAGGAGGGCAGGAAGAAGAGGAGGAAAAGGAGGAGGAGGTGGAGGAGGGGGGGGAGGAGGATGAGGAGGAAGGCGGCGACGAGGAAACGGAGGAGGACGAAGAGGACAAGCAGTAAGGCACGCAGCAGGATGTCGAGGAAGCGAACGCGGAGTGCGATGAGGGCATGCTGTAGAGGGACGGGGAGGTGAAAAACGAGGAGGACGAGGACGACATCGAGGATGGCGAGGAAGGCCGACGGGGGGGACGACGGCCGGGAGGACGAGGCGGAGGACATCGATCCCGACGAGGGGGAACCAGTGGGCGGACTGGGCCCAGGCCGCTGACTTTCCCATGGGCTGTATCATAGCCCGAATTGCTATTTTGTCCAGGGCGTGGCAAGACGCCCCAGGGTGGCCCCAGACCGTCCGTTTCGATTCTTGCACGAGTCAAACAATTCTGGGTTCGGGAGTCATCGGGGGCCAAGCATCGACCTCCAGATCTGTCCTGAGGTGCGTTCTCGTCAGATTTTCAATGCGGATCCAGTCGTGGCCAAGAGGGTGCCCCAGGATGCTAGAAAAGGCGGGAAACGTTCGAACACCTTTTTCCTCGATCTTCGGGCGGGGTTGGAGTCGCTACCCAGGCTTCGAGCTAATCCCAACCGATCCCCAGGACGGACACGGCCAAGCCATTACACTCTAAAACAATGTGCGATCAGAAACGGAAGGAACCCTCAAGATCGGCACTGGGGTGGGGTGGTGCCAATCACTAGTTCGTCTGCTAATGTGGCTCAGGCTTCTGGGGGTCAGAGTCAGCGACTTGCGAAAAACGTATTGAGAGAAAAGGGCTGGCCCGGGCGAATAATCTCAAAAGGACTTGCTAAGGATACGCAGAGGGAAACTTGTGTCTGAAAAGAAAGGCGATCCCGAACACAAAACATCCTAATCCTGGAATTCACGTCTTCCTGGCCCCCAAACAGCCGACTCCGCTTAGCATTAGGTCGGGCATGTCCCCTTACAGGCGGATTTTGGAAGAAAAATTTAAACAAGTCAAAACAATAGCCCCCCAAACAGTCAATCATGCTCAACAACAAGAATCCCCTGACTATCTTGTTAACTATTTTTGAATATTCCCCCGGTAGAGGGACAAGCCCGACTTAACATTAGCAGGGAAACGACTCACAAGGACAAGGGACGTGCTTCGGGCTGGCGGGTCCCCCGGAAGCGCCTGCGCCAGCTGCCTCCTCCGCAACCGCGCGGGGCCGAGCAGCTCCCCGGTCAGCGGGCAGTGGTCGGCCTGCGACGTCAGGCTGACCGCCACGGCGGCGTGCTCCTGACGAGAGCCCCGACTCTGGCTTTAAGTCGTACAGGGGGAATATTCAAAAATAGTAAAACAAATAATCAGGGGACTTCTTTGTTGTGCTAAAACATAGTTTTGAGCATGTTTTGAATATGTGTCGGGTGTTCTTTCCATCCAAAATCTGCCTGTATGGGGGACATGCCCGACTAACTCTGGTTTTGCCGTACAGGATTCGGCCTGACCAAAAGAACGATTTATAAGGACCGAAGCCCCTTTTCTTCCAAAGAACACCAGGGAGGCTCGCCGCCAAAAGGGTAGCGGAACGCATGGAAACCAAAGGAACGGCCGCGCCCCTTTTCAAAACAAATGTGTTCCTGATTCAAACCAGATCCTGTACTGTGGTTGCTTGCCCGGCTCGACAAATGTGTCGGATATGCATCCCAAACGATGCGACAACATAAAACGGACATCTCCGTCTCAGAAGGGCAGGGCGGGCATTTCGGCAAACATCCGGCGGAAACAACGGCGGCAAAGCAGTAAAGGGCCCCAGGGACATTCAAAGGACTAGACTCAAAATCCCAGGAATCCCAATGCTTTATATATATATATATATATATATATATATATATATATATATATTATGGGTGTTCGTTTTCCCCCCGCTTCCCATATTCTCCTATCTGTTCATGGAGATTGGCGATCAATTGTGTCTGTCCGTCTCTTCCCTCCTTGAAGTCGAGCGGGAATCGACATCTGAAGAAGCTTGATAAGTAGGGCGGGAATTGCTGCCCCAGTTGCGCCATCGCCGGAAGAATGATGACTCCGACGGCGGGGGGGGGGTGCAGCCCTCCTCTCGTGGATGAATCGGCCACGCGCAGGAGTGACCCTAGGCAAGAGTGACCTTTCGTGCGCGGACCGAGGGGGCGCAAGGTGGCCAGATCCACGCTCGCAAGCAACCGCTATCGCATCGCGCTCAACGACCGGGGGGACACTAACGAGCCCGCACAAGGTGGCGACCCTCACGAGGGTGGTGCCCTTGTGGGATGGCTGAAGCCCTCTGCTGGCTCCATAGGCCAGTTGTGGTTCGGGCGCCCTGGCCCCTCGGAAAGTGGCGACCCTCACGAGGATGCTGTCCCCCCTGGAGGAGCAGGAACCTCTGTAGGCAAGAGGATGGTGCCCCTCTGGAGGGGCTGAAGCCCCTGCCGGCTCTGTAGCCTGGTTTTGGGTCGGGCGCCCTGGCCACTCGGAACGTGGCGACCTTCGCGAGGACGGTGCCCTTCTGGAGGAGGTGAAGCCTTCTTCCAGCTCCGAGGCCCAGTTGTGGTTCGGGCACTCTTTATTACGTGCAGTCGAATGAAACACGGCGGGGCGTTTGTGGCCGTCTTCGGCCTCCGGGGCCCCTGGCACGCACGGCCCCGGGACGCCGTCAAGAGACCGATCGGGGTGCAGAGCCGGCCCCACGGGATCAGTCTTTCCTCTGAGAATCGGGGTAAGACGCCAACAAAAATTAAGGTCTCATGTTGACTCTGCTCAGTGGTAGAGGATACGGGATGAGACATCGATGGAACTATCGGTTATCCGTTAAGCAACTACACTCAAATATAGGAAGTGAGGAGTCCGGCCAGGGACGGGCGACGACACGGGCCGCCCCTGCGCCCCCCGGCGCGCCCCTTTTCTCACTCGAGCAGTAGATACAGCTTCGGCATACAACGATACCAATGTCAAGGTGCAGCAAGGCAGGCAGCAGGAGAGGCAAGTGCATAATGAGGCGGGGAGGAGCATATTTACTCCCCCCGCGGCGGGTTTCGTAGAGTCCAACCAGCCCCAGCCCACCCGGCCTGTACATATTTACAGCCACTGGAGCGAACCCCAAAGCATTTTACCGCTCAGCGGTGGTTGCAAGGGGGCTGAGGGCCGGAGAAAGCCCGACGAATCCCACCAATAGTGAAAATAAAGCCTCTCCGCCGATGCGACTATGTCGTTCGGGCGGTGCCATAGCGACTTGGTCGCACGGTTTGTGTATTGCCTCACTGGTTGTACTAAAGGTATCGCCCCTGTGATGGCGGAAGTGGAGGTTTCGGAGTCGAAGACGATGAGCCTCCCGATTGTCCAGCTGTCCAATGAGGCGCCGCTGGTTTGCCTCCCTTGCCACGGCCAGCATAGGGAGCTGACCTGGTGTTATTGTCCTTGCCCTTGCTCTTGGTGTGCCCCTTGCCTTCTTCTCTCGGAAAGTAGTAGTCGTAGTCGTAGGGCAGCGCAAAGTGCCGCGTTCGCCTCTCGCGCTCTCTACGAGACATCCAGCGCGTGGCGTCACAATGGACCCAGTATCCCTGCAATTCGTTCCCCGTGTACTCCGGGTAGTGGACCGCGGGGTCGTAGCCAGCAGCAGCGCGCCCGGCATCCATGGCCCCGGCGCGCGCGCGCGGACATTGGCCAATCCCATGTGTCCCAGTCAGCGTCTCGAGTACTCCTCCCCCGCCGTAACGGTTTGACCGCTGGCGGGGCGAGGGGGCTCAGTAACCTCATCGTTGGCTCGATCGTCTTGGACGTCGGGCCTTCGAGGCGGAGGAGGCGGATCAGGGCGAACAGCAAGGCTTGGCCTTGCTTTCGCAACAGGAGCCCCTTCCGAACCGGCTGGGCCGTCGGAGGGCCCGCCAGCGCCCCCTTCCTCGCGGAGACGCATGCCATGCTGCATCTTAGCATATCTTACAATACCTCTCGCGGCAGTGGCGACATAGGCACCATATTTGCCACAGGCAGTGCGAGAGGGGCCGTCGTCGCTGTCTTGGAGTTCAATTGATTCCACATACGGGTATGGCCAAAAGACAGCATCTTGCAACTTTATGTCCTGGCGACGAATCTCTGCACGACCCAGTCTGCCCATATCGCGGGCCAACGCCTCCATGAGGTCGACTGTCTCAACAGCCGCACGAATGCGGCAGTCAAGCGCATATGCGTCTGTGCGACGCTTATCCTCATCATGCCCTGCGTCTGTGTCGCGGGTAAGAAGGCCATGCGCGGGCTATGCAATGTAATACCCCTCGGCAATAAAACAACTAATGAGCTCACGGACGATCACGATCACTCGCATGATGCGAAGACCCAACTCAAGGTCTTTAACAGGAACCTTCAAATTCCATTCAATGGTCTGTCGCACTTCGTCAGGGACATCATGTATCACTTCTCCCGTTAGGCGCAATCTATCGGTCGCGCTCGTGTCCGGGTGATAGCATGTATGCTCCACGACATACTGCGCAGCCACGTCGATGGCTTCTTTCTTCGTCACTGTGATGCTCAATGAGCCATCATCATGGTGATGGTATACCCGTCCTGTGGGCTGATCGAGGTCGATCACCCCGTCAAGCATCTGCTGGGTCTGGGACCCGCAGACGGCGGTGAAATCGAGAGGAACCGTTTCGGATCCCTCGTTATTTGCCGTCTCGGTTTGACCGGCGGCAGGTCTCACCACACTGAGAGGGTGATTAGAACAGATTTTGTTGCGCCTATTCACAGACCTGGATTCACGAGCAGGACGTGCGACAAATTGATCTGCCCAGGCAACCGGCGGACGTCCACGAGGGCTGGGCCCTGTGGCGTCAACGCTGGTGTCCTGTGTATTGGGCAGCCAGGGTGCGGCTCCTGTTTTTGCGTCTTGCAACGTCTGAAGGGTCGGTGCAAAAGTATCTGTCCTACGCGCGCCGCGCTCCCATGCATCCCAACCTTCTTGGGGTGAAAAGTACGAGTCAGGTGCTTCTGGCCAGTCAATCGCAGCCGGGGCGGGACGAGAAGGGGCGCGCACACTGATCGATGTCTGTGGCCCAAAGCAGCGGCCACCACTCAGCGATCGCTGGTGCCAGAAACCCATGTCTATTAGCAAAGTGCGCTATCCATTTTATGAATCGCCTCTTGAGGAATTCAAGGTGCTGAAAGAAAGGTCCGCGACGCGCCGGCGGTTGGGCCGCTGCGCGTTCAGGAACCCAGGCAAGAACGCTGCCAGGGCGACTGTTTCCAAAGGTTTGACCTGAAGCAGCCATTGTACGTAATCCATTTTCTGCCCACTTACGTTCCAGATTCAAATTATTGTTGGTATTCGTCATGACATCCGCTGACGCTCTACGCTGCCGTTTTATTCTCTCTGTAACATAACGATCATGCGCCCAAGGAAAGGTTTCATGATCGAGAACGGTCAGCCTAAAACCATTTCTCCGCAGCGAGTCCTCGATGGTTCTGTGCTTAAGTGTCTGAAGCAGATAATTTTGCGCAACCATGTACTTGTACTTCACGGGGTTCTTACAAAAGGGGCAACGGCCAAATCCAGTCCGCACCCAGTGCAGTCCAGCACAAAGGAACCGACCGTCGTCTTCCCAGGGAACGGACTGAATAAATGCGTCCGCTCTGTCAGACCAAGGACGGAATCCTGGCCTCAATGTCAAAGTCTCGTCGGTGTGAATCCAACCAAGCATGGAGTTATCATCAAAATCCACCTCATATGAGGTCCACTCCTGGCTAAAGATAACTGACCATGAGATCAACTGTCGGTTCGCATTGGGCCAACCATTGATTTTGGCGCGAGTGACAGCTATATCGATCTCGGTGAACCTGGCACTTCACGGGGCACGAGGGCCCCGTCACGGCAGATCCGGCACCCGGGTGAGCACTCGGCCATTGAAAACGAGAACTACTGGCCAAGAGTCTCTGTGTGTCGGAAGCTGGTACCACAGACGGACTGTGTCCGCTGCGGGCCATGCCCCAATCGTAGGAGGCTCTCCCGTCACTTGGTATTGGCCCATGGCGCGGTGCTTTTTCACAGGAGCAGGATCTCCATCCCTACGCTGGCTTAGCCAGGAAGGAATATGATCTGGTTCTCTCATGTTCGGATCCCTCTTGGCTGGAAGAAGCCTCAACAATCCATAGTCCGCCTCGAGGCAAAGCCCAGGCGTGCTCTTTGGGAACTGGACTTCTCCGACCATGGATCCCATCAATGTCTCCATGTGAGTGATATGGAGGAGGGGCCCATGACACCTGGCTAGGCC